ATCATTTATATATATTGTATGTTTTATGTGAATGCAATGTTTGTATAAACTAATTCAGGTGTCCAAATCTAAAAATTCTGCTTTTAGTGATCTTTATAATAGATTAGATACTAAATAGGGTGAAAAATATATGTATAAATTAGCCAAACAAAGAGAAAAGAAAAGTAAAGATTTAACTCAAGTAAAGTGTATAAAGATGAAAATCGAAAGTGTTTTTCTTAGAAAAAGATATTCAACATAGGTGGATGAGTTATTTTGATAAAATTTTTAATGAAGTTTCTGAAAATACGGTAGCATTGGGTGATCTTAATTTCTTTAATAATAATAAAACGTTTTATTTTTACTATCATATTAGTAAAAAACAAGTGAGGAGGCTTTAAAGAAAATCAAGTGTGGAAAGTTTGTAGGACCCGATGATATCCCAATTGTAGTATGGAAATATTTATGAGATTTGGAGTTTCTTGGCCTACTTAACTCTTTAATATTATTTTAAAAACTAAAAAGATGCTTGAGGAGTGAAGAAAGATTATTTTGGTCCCCATTTTTAAGAATAAAGGGGATGCACAAGAGTGTGCAAATTATAGAGGATTAAGGCTGCGTTTGGGACAGCTTATTTAGAGCGGTGGCGTTTTGAAAACGCCACCGCCTGTTTGGAAATTCCAGTGAGATTGCGTTTGGGGAAACTCTGTTTTTAGGTTTGTATTATACGCGGATCGCGGGGCCCCGCGATCCGCGTTTAATGCTGTCGAAAGACAAGAGTTTCCCCAAACGCAATCTCACTGCCCGTCTCCTCTGCCCTAATCTCGCGTCCCTCCTCTGCCCTAAGAATCATTTCGCAAAGGCTCAATCCCGTGCGTAGCGCTCCTCGACAATCCTCCGTCTCCACCGTCTTGTGTTAGCTTTGCGCTCCTGCATATTTCGGTCTCTCCTCCGTATTTCATTCAGCGAACTCCTCCGTCTTCGGTTCGAAGAAATCCTCCCTCTTCTCTTCTCTTTCTCACTGGTAATCTCATTTTTTATCTCCATCATCTGTTTAGGGCTCCGATTTGTCTATTCCCGTGAAGATGCCGCTGGAAGTTTTTCCTTTCGCTTCTTGTTCATCCGAGCGTCTTGTTCATCCGAGCGCTTTTGTTAAAGATATTTGGGACGAGTTTTTTTTTTTTTCTGTGGAAGTTTATGTGCTGGAAGTTTACTTGTTTTTCCTTATTGTGGAAGTTAATTCCGCTTTTTCGTTTATGACGGAATTGATACGGAATTGATACATCTTTGTTATGATACATCTTTGTTAAGCGCTTTTTCGAGATTAAGAATGATGATGGTGAAGATGATGGTGATGACATAGATGAGGAGATTAGGGTGTTGTAATTTCTTTTTTATATATATATATATATATATATCGATAAAGGTTAAATGGACGGAAGTTTACATGGATTTACACATTATTTAGGGGTTCATCTATTTCAATTTCTTCAAATCAAACAGAGCCTAAATGCTTTATCAAAGAGGTGATAAATGGAGAATCTCTAGCTTCCTTGCAACATCCATAGCAGCCGTAAGAAAAGCTTTTGTTGGATCTTATTTGTAGCAATGCAACTATCTGTGCTACTCTAGTTTGCATAGGAAAGAAAATGGTGGTTGCCTGATATTCTTGATATTGTTTTGATGTTTGGATTGCAACATCCATAGCACAGAGTTCGTCGATATCAATATTTCAGAACACCGCATCTGCTTCAACTGCTTCCGTTTCTACTGTATCTCAGTCAGACAGGTTTGCTCAGGGTTCTGGAGTGACAGAGCCGGTCACAGTGAGACGTGATATGCTACTGGATGTAAAAGTCAATATTATTATTTTTCTCCTTGTGATTTTGACATGTTATTTTTTTTTCTTTGTTGGGTCTCATTATAGTATGTACTAGTGCGTTATGATATATTTTTCACACTTCTTTGGGTAATTTTGTATTTCTGATGTGATGAAATATTTCAGTAATATAAATATTTTCTATTATCACATATGTTTTTCAATCTTTGCATTTTCTTTTTTATGATTACGTTGAGAGTGTTATTAATTTTGTGAAAACAAATTCAAATAAGTTGTCTTCAGAAAGCACAAAACAAACAGCTCCAGCTTATTCAAAATTTGGACAGTTTGGTCATTTTTTCAGAATCAGCTGTTCTCAATAACACAAACCAAACAGACAGACAAATTATCCGGATCAGCTGCTTATCACCAGATTATCCGGATAAACAGCTTATCAGGATAAGCTGGATAAGCTGCAGCTGCCCCAAACAAACCCTAAGTTGATGTGTCATACTTTAAAATTATGGGAGACGGCAATTGAACATATGTTAAGATGTATTACTATGATTTCTCATAATCAATTTGGATTTATACCGGGCAGGTCTACTATGGAAGCTATACATTTATTGAGAGTTTTAATGGAGAATTTCAAAGATAATAAGGAGGATCTACATTTGATTTTAATTGATTTAGAAAAAGCTTTCGCTAAGGTTCCAAAAGATATCCTTTGGAGAGTTTTTTAGAAGAAAGGTGTTGATATGACTTATATTCAATTCATTAAAGATACATATATTGGAGTTGTTATTTGTGTTCGAACTGAAGGAGGATTGACCAACTATTTTCATATTTCTGTTGGATTACATCAGGGATCGGCTTTATGCCCTTATTTTTTGCTTTAGTTATAGATGTTCTTACTGGACATTTACAGGAGAATGTACCTTGGTGTATGCTTCTTGCTCTTGCTGATGATATCTCTTGCTGATGATATCCTTCTCGTGGATAAGATGAGGGAAAAACCCAGGAAAAACTTGAATTATTGTGGTCTTCATTGGAGTCTAAAGGCCTTCATTTGAGTAGAACTAAAACTTAATACATGGAATGTAATTTTAGTAGTAGTAGCTCTAGTGACAGAAGTGTAACTTTAGTTGTTCAAATTATTAAAAGGTGTGAACGATTTAGATATCTCGGGTCTGTTGTTTAAATCGATGGTGATATAGATGGGGTGTTAATAGTAGAATTCAAGTTGGTTGGTTGAAGTGGAGGAATGCTTCGGGCCTTTTGTGGGATAGAAAATGTATCGTTTAGACTGAAAGGAAAATTTTATAACATGGTGGTGAGAAATGCAATGCTCGATGGAGCTGAATGTTGGCCTTTAAAAGAGAAACATAATACTAAATTTGTTGTTGCCGAGATGAGAATGATTAGGTGGATGAGTGGCTTTACACTTAGAGACAAAATGCAAAATGAATATATCCGTGATAGGGTTGGTGTATCTCCAGTGACAGATAAAAATAGTGAAAGTCGTCTTTAGATGGTTAGGTCACATTAAACGTCAATTAGGAGAGTAGATGTTTTAGATTCGATTTCTGTTAAAAAAGGCAGAGGTAGAGCTTGGAAGACTTGGGCTTATTGTATAAAAAATGATTTGTATAAAAAATGATTTAGAACTAGATGAAATAAACATTTAAAAATTTAATCTTTGTCAGTTCGGTTGACTTTAAAGGTACATAACTTATCATGTCTAGTCTTTGAATTATTTAGTGCCATTTTTTAAACAGATTATTTGCCATATGATGTACAACTTGCATTTGCATTTGATAGTTTTTAAATGAAAATTTTATGGAATCTAATTAAGTATAAATTTTAAGTTTTTTTTTGCTATCTCATAGAAGTTATCTACTTGTTATCTATTAACAAGGACGTAAGACTTTCTTTATTATCCCCACATGCATTATGTTTCATATTATATTACATTGCTCATTATTTATATTCTTTATTATATGAAAATATTGCTAGAAGTTTTTTGTTAATTGTTTATGTTAATAAAATTTATGTGTTTGGAAAACAATAATAAAGTCACAGCCCATCTAAACTCAGGAAGTTTTGCCGCATAAAATCACAAGGCATTCCTAGAAAATTATAGTACTACTCTAATTTCTAATGTTCCTAATTTGACTTTTTTTATCGTGAAACATCAACTAATACTATAGATCCTTGTTTTTCTTATCTCCTTTTTCTGGTTTCACATTCAATATGAATCTATACATTACCCTAATGGTATGATAGTTCTGTGCTAGAGACTATAATTGTTGAAAAAACTCATGTCCACTTTGATGGTTAATTTCAGAGATATCGTATATGTGGGAGAGAATTGAGAGATGGTTGTATATATGGCGATTCATGGATCTCTATGCCTGGATTTGTTTTTCGAATACGAAGTATACAATTCTTCTAATGCATGCTTTTTAAGAAAGTTATGCTTCAAGGAGAAAATAGTTTTATGCTAGAGGCTATAATTGATGAAAAAAAAATCATGTCCACTTTGATGGTTAATATCAGAGATATCATGTATGTGGGAGAGAATCGAGAGATGGTCGTATATATGGCGATTCATCGATATCTCTATGACTGGATTTGTTTTATGAAGATGAAGTAAACAATTTTTCTTAATGCATGCTTTTTAAGAAAGCCTTGAAGGAGAAAATAGTTTTAGCTGGCTCTTTATATGATATTTTTTTAGTGAATCCGTGGTGAACCAGTCAATGGTGCAATGTGAAAGCCCCTATATTGATGTACATTGAGCACTTGAGTTGTCAATTTATGGCCTTTCGAATAACGGAAAGTTTACAGTTAAACCTTTACCGGAAGAATTTTGATTTGGTGTACAAAGAATCAATTTCTTGCTCTGTATTCATGGTTCATTAATTCTGATCAACCATTATTTTTTTTAGTTCTCGACTATTTTTCTGTGCTAGAATTATTTCAGCTTAAAAGTTGGCGTGTTCTTTTGTTAGGTTGACCGCTTTTTAAATGTACCTGTTATGGTTTTCCGGAAATTGGTTGTAGGATGCTCTTAGCTAAATTATCTTCTCCAGCTATTTTGATATGCTCTAGAGTCCAAATAATTTCTTACTTTCAGCTGTAATTTTAACACGTTTGGTTGATAAATTCTACTTATGATTCGTATATCTTCTTTTTTCAGTTTCATAACGGCGACCTCTCTAGCTAAGTGGACCTTCGAAATCTTTTATTAGGTGCAGCTGATTCAGGTAAATGCTCTTACTGTAAAATTTTTATTAGGGCAATATTTATTCTGCCCTTGCTAACTCATGCGGGCGTGGCAGCTCCCATTAGTGCTTTAGGGCTCACTCGTCCTCACCGGGTATCCAATGGGAATTCCATCTCTAAGCTGGATCACTTCTTTGTTCCTTATATTTTTGAAAAACCTGTAGAAATGACTCATTTTATTTGGATAGATTTATGAGTTAAATAGTCCCCAACAATTTACATAGGGCCGTTTTAGTCCTAGAGTTTATAGAAGTGCTAAAATAGTCTCCAATTATTTTAAAATTGAGCTTTAATAGTCTTGGGGACTATTTCAGCCCCAATTTAAAGAATCTGTGGATTATTTTAGCACTTCTATAAACTCTGGACTAAAATGTTCCTATGTAAATAATCAGGGATTATTTTGCCACTTTACTCCTAGGTTTATATAAAAGCATTTCTAGTTTTAGAGTAGTTAAGGGGCCGTTTGGGATCAGTTCTGTTTTATATTTTTAATTTTTTTTTGTTTTGTTTATGCTTTGGAGAAAAAGGATTCCTGTAGCCGACCCCACGTAGTGGGATTAAGGTATTGTTGTTGTTTTGTTTATGCTTTGATTTGAAGTAAAACATGTTTGGCTATTTTGACTAAAGTATGATTGTTTTTAAAAAGACTTAAAAGTTATTTTGAGTGTTCTCAATAATAAAAAAAAATGAAAATATGAAAAAAAAGATCTTAAACAAACAAGTTTTTGATAATATAAGAAAAAAATACAAACAAAAAACAAAATTGGATCCTGAACAAGCCCTAACCTTCTCAATTTGATGATTTCTAGAAGCTTATTGAATAGCGAGGAAGAATTTTACCCAGCTGAGATTTCTGATCAGAAAATTTAAGCAGTAGCAACTATGGGCCAAGCAAAACTACCATCAGCTAGCCAAGTAAAAGCAAAATCATTGAATTAAGGATTGTGATTATGCTGAAGAACATCAGATCTTCATTTTAGCTGGAAAACATGCTGTCATCTAGCTTCTTCTTCCTTATGTTTACCAGCTGCGTACGAGTACATTCCATTAACCACGGTTTAATAGTATGTGTTAAAACCAAGTAGTCATACCATCCTGCTAGTGATTAATATTCTCCCATTAAATTACAAAACCTCAAATAGAAGCTTTGCAATAAATGAGAAATGATGTGTTTGGTTTTTTTTTTTTTAGATGCTGTCATGGTCATCAAACGTTGATTTATGCTATAGGTATAAAGGGTGCATTTGGGATAATTTTTTCATAGATTTATTGACTACGGTCTGGTTTTTTTTTTTTGGCTATAATATTTTTTGCTACTCTTAAAAATTATTTTTGGAAGATATACATACATAACACTTAATTTGTATGTATTTACTTATCTAACACCAAAAATCATGTTTATATCACTTTTCTGCCCGAAAATGTGTATTTCACTTTTTAAAAGTTAAAAAAACTGGTATTTTTCATGTATTATTAAAGATTCTGACGGTATAAATGTAAAAAAGCAAAGTTTAAATTTTAGGTATGTAAATACATAGGAATTGTGTGACATGCATGTAAATGCCCCACATATGAATTGAAGTTTGCAATCCTTATGATTTTTGATTGAGCCAAGGCTGACTTGCCAAACTGCTTAGATGGAGATATTTTATTGTAATTGTTTTAATGCAGGATGAAAGTAGGACCGAAGCTTGGAACTATGTTTAAGAACTCATCCAGGTGGAACTGTACCGTTATTAGTTCATTGAATGGTTTGCTTATTTTTTATGTAATTTCTGGACGGATTTGTATGAACGTCTGCATCTGCGATCCTTGCTATATCTGCGTATGCAGCAGGAAATTTGGGTCCAAGTTGTTTTTTTTTGGTCTTTGTTTTTGGAGTGAGACTTTGATGAGGCCATTGTGTCAAGAACAAAATGGCCATGTATTTTCATCTCAGATTATTAACTAACTTGCCAACCTGTGCCTACTTCTTTAAGGTTGCGGCAAGCTACCAAGTTTTGTTTTCTTTTCTGCGTTAATGAGGGAAACATGGTGGTATATTTGTCACAGGGAAATTTACTTGCACGCCACATAAACACCTAAATTATGGTATTTATATTTATAATAATAATTGTGTCAATTAAAAAGTATCTTGTTTTGATCTAAAATAAGTGTTTTATTTAGGTCGTGATGTTAAAGAGTTTTCTTTTTTCTTTTTTCTTTTTTAAATAGTTAAACAGTTGAATGTTATAAATGTAAATAAGAAATTTAGGTGTTAGATATGTAAATATTGAAGAATTGTGTAGTACTTGCGTGAATACGTGATTTTAAAAATTGGATTAAAAATTGGATCGTGATTGGTTCAACTGTGAACCGGTAAACTGACTGGTTTGGCGTCAGCTTAAAATCGTTTCTCACAAAATTGGGATTCAATGGATGAATTGGTTTGGTTTTTAAAGAGTTGCCTGGTTCTAATGTTTTTTTGGTTCTCTCTAAAGGAATGGCAAGAGGCTATGATACGAGTTGCCTGGTTCTAATGTTTTTCCGGTAATCCCTCATGTGCCTATTATTCGAATATCACACTATATAAGCAGATGCACGATCAACTGATTCTAATGTCTTCAATTATGTCATTTCAATTTTGATCTGATGATAAAAAATTTATAATAGACAAAATGCAAATATTGTTTCAAAATATTATTTAAAATATTTAAAAGAAATAAGTTAACCTAGAAAATTATTGATTGAATTCATCAAAATATTTATGTTATTTAAATTATATTAAAATAGATATAATATTTATCTCCAATTGAATTATTGAATTTTTAATTTTTTATATTTTTGTTAAGTAAGAGTTACCGTTGAAGTAGTGGATGATCATTATTATCTTACAGCACAAATAATAATGGTAATTGGCGCTTAGAATGACATTATATGTGGGGCCCACCTTTTGATATATGTATCTAATCTTAGGCTTGGGGAATTTTCATTTTTAATTCTAGCCGACGGGCTATCAGCCAATCATTTAGAAGGGAGCCAGGCTCTTAAAAGGCAAAATGTCAGTTGCAGCCAATTTAATTAAGAAATATACTAAAATTTAAGATTTTGTTTTTTAGATTATTAAAAGTATTTAAAAAATATATTTTATATTTTATATCTATTTTTTTTAAAATATTTAATTACTCATCTTATTTATCATTACACCAATTTAAATTAATATTTTTTAATTATAAATTTGAGTTCAAGCTAGAAATCAATTTTAATTATTGAAAAACCTTGAATAAAATTAAATATTGTTATAAAAACTTTGATTAGTCATATTCTTAAGAATATGGTTGAACAGATGTTTCTTAATTATTTTCTGAGGAATATAATGCCACTCTTTTATTTTTCAGGGCTTAATTAATCATTGCAATTAAATTATGATTAAGGCTTCTTCAGAGTGAATCTGCCAGTAAGAGCTGTTATCCAAGCTCTGCTAAGAAAAAAATTAGGTAGATTTACATTCACGACTCTCAATTTCTATGTATTTACATAAAAATGGTGCGTTCATGTGCTAAATTCCGTCATTCTGAATCGCATTTATTTTGAATTTATTTATATTTTAATAAAAAATAAACATTTATTTGATGATTCATGAGTACAAAAGTAAGAAAATAATGAGCAATCATTTCATAGATTCTTCTCAGGTTTGCAAGCAAAAATTATATCATTTTAGCTTGTGGATGATTGTAGAGGATATATAGCGGTGAGCTCGTGCTTGATTACGACATGACGTATTTGAACTTCTTCTTCTTCTTTTGGTACTTTTGATATTTGAGAGATAAGGGCAATTATAGTTCAGGAACAAGTTGGTAGATAGTGTGTGTTCAAACGAGTGTTACTGCCAAAAATGTTGAGTTTCTGACCAACTGATGACTGAAAACTTACCACAAAGTAAATCAGTTACTCATACAAGTATACGTGTCAAGAAATAATCTATTTAAAGAGTATAACAAATCTATCTCGCGAAGAAAGGGCTAAGAACTATTCTGATAGGTGAATCTCTAATTTTCTAAATGTCTAAACCTAGTTCAACATAATCACAAACAAAAGATGGAGTTTCTAAAATCCTTCTCGAAAATAAAAACAAAAATAATGAGATTGGAAAACATAGAAAAACAACTCCATGAAAATCTTACAGTTCTTCAAGAGGGTTGAGGCTTGTGCCCTTGTCATTCAAGTATTGTGTTAGTTTATGGTATTCCTAAACTTTCCCCTGCATGATAGTTGTCAACAGGGATAAAAAATCCTTATACTTATGCCTAGTTCTAAAGAAGGTTATAATCCATGAAGTTGAGGCTCCCTTAATCTCTATGGCATCCCACAAATTTGTTCTGATCCACTTTCTAAGTTGCAAAATCTAAATAGAATATTTATATTATCACCAAGATTTTGTGGTCAACCATTTCTTTCTTCTGCACAACGGTCAAGAGTCATATATATGAAATATGTTAATATCCTAATCAGCCAAATCAGATGTAAATGAAACTTTATAGTTAATACAACAACTTAAACCCTAATTCTAAAAGAAAATAATTCAGAGAAATAAAATTTATCTAAGAAAACCAAGAAAACTACAATCCATAAATCACAGTGTCGTGAAGAGGAATTTAGCCACTCATGATTGAAAGAACATAAACAAAATAGTACACCAAAATCATTGTTGCAAGTAGAAATGGATAGTAAAAACTTAAAAATCAATTTATTCCCTCTCTCAAAATAGTAAGTCCACCTTCCATACAATTTCCTCTCCAAAAAAAATAAGAAAATACAAAGTGAATGGGATAGAACAACCCCCAGGACCTCATTCTCAATCAAAGAAGAGAATCCTAAGGAAGAAGATCTCTAACCCTCAAATTTGGTGCTCTTGTAGTCTTTAAATCTCCAGCTTCCACCAAGAGCACCTAAAACATCATTTATATATTCAAATCCTCAGATTTGGAAGAAAAATTCTTGCCAAAATAAATTCTTGGTCCATCGGCATGGTCACTGACATGCCTAAAATGTGTTATATTTTATATACATTTTGTGCTTATTTTTAATGATTTGCACTTTAATGGAAGGTATTTTTCATGTTTTTGGTTTCATGTACAAGTGATGAAGTTTTGGAGAAAAATGAGCAAAAATGAAGCAAAATGGGGTCGAATGGAGCATAGGGAGAAAAAAGTAAACCGGCGCCTAGCCGTCAGCTTCTAGCGCCCGAAACTGTACGCAAAATAGAACGTTCGGCCCCATGGGGCCAGGATCTTGCTTCTAGGTGCCAAACAATTATTTCATGCTTCTAGAAGACTGTTGCCTAGGTTTCAGGATCTGGCGCCTACGTTCCAAAATAATTTTTTTTAAAATACAATGTATTTAGATGAGTTTTGAAGGGGCATCTGAAGCGACTCTTGGGGGATTTTGAGGGATATATTATGGGGTCTTTTTCGACATATTCCCCCCTCCCCACCAAAATTTTTGAGAAGGCCGAGAGGTCATAGATTGGAGTAGGAAATGTAGATTTCTACATTTTCATGAGAGATTGGAGAGGAGATTTTGAGAGATATCTGTAAGGGATTGTATTAGCATTACATGGTTCAGTAGGAGACTTTGTTGGAGGGATTTTCATTTTTCTTTTAGAGGAAAAAACCTAAGTATTGTGTTCTTCAATATCTTGCACTTGTTGTAAAAACTTATTTAGTAGATTTGCTTTGATTTAATGAAGCTTTTGTTGTGTGTGACACATGCTTTGTGAAGTAAAATTCCTTATTTTTTGCAATGAATTGGTTGAACGTTTATGATGTTAGAATGAATGTTACAATAGGGTTTTCATATCAAAGTGATGGTTCTTACTTCATGCTTCATTTACATATTCAATATGGCTAATTGGTATATTAAAATTTGTTGTAAATCATAATGACCCAGGAGGGCTATGACTTAAACAACTAGGAGAAACCACATTGAATTTATGGGTGAAGGAAAAGTAGTCCTAAGGTTCAATGCAATATTAGGGAGATGTTCATTGATTGAGTGTAAATTGATGTTTTTAGGGTGATAGGCTAGACTCCTACCTATTTGATCGAGGTCTTCGTACCTTAAAACTAAGATTGAGCCAATTAGAGGGCTATTAGAAGAACGAGAATATAGGGCGATAGGATAGAAGTTTCACCATGGCAATCTAGTATTTTACGGAATCAACCCTAGGTTAACTGAGCTACGTTATACATTCAAAAGAGGGTAACTTAGATTTTTGCTCATATTTTTTCTGTCCATATTAGATTCTGAGCATCCTATTCCTACACATTTTCTAGAACATCAAAAGAGAAAGGAAGTTTTCACATCTCAAAATTCACCTAACCAATTTATCCAGGTAGGTTTAGATTTAGATTTAGGTTTTTATTTAGGAGTAGTTGATAGAAAAACACTTTTAATTGACATTCCAAACTAAGACTTGATAGTAGTATACTAGAACTAAGCCTAAGAGATTTCTTACTTTGCTTCAATGTGGGATCGATACTCTGGGTTTTAAAGAAAACCCTATATTACATGAACGATATGTGCACTTGCGTTTATACCTGATGAGTAGTGATGAATCGTGGAAAATTAAGTTATTAAAGTTATAAAATATATTTAAAAAAATATAATATTTAAACCATAAATCACTAGGTATACCATTAGAGTAAGTAGTGGTAAGTCACCTAGGCTTCCCTGATTGGACGACGTGTGATCCACCTAAAAATTACCTATTTTTAGTTGACATTTCATGCTCATTTTATGCACATATTTAATGATATTACAAATTAAAGGAAGGTATTTTCATATTTTTATCTTCAGGCACAAGAAGTGAATTTTTTGTGAAAATAAAGCAAAAACGGTGCAATTTGGAGCCAAATTGAGCAAAGAAGAAAATTCTGACCTTGCACATTTCAATATGACTTTCTATACATAAGCTCGTTCATATTTATTCCATAAGTTTGAAAGAAATTACACTTTAAAGAAAAGTTTTTTTCATGTCTATCTTGTAGGTATACAAATCTGAAGCGCAATAGAGCTGAAACGAGGCAAAACTGAGCTGAAACAGGG